GGCTACAAGAGGAACGCCGACGGCAAGCTGCGCATTTGCCTCCACCACTCCTCAGTGCCTTTCGCTGTGCGGTGATGGGCCGCGCTGTTGAGACTCTTTCTGGTGCATAGCTTGGAACTCTGAGCTTTTTTTGGCGGACTTTTAATTCCCGCTCTTGAAGACGGCTGGTTGAAGCGCCGGCTTGGTCTGTTCTGGGATCTGTGTTTTTTCCTGATTTTTCTCGGCCGTCGGGCCATGTCTGCATTTTTGTCAAGTGACTTTGCCGTCAAGGCATTCAAAGAACTTGCCCATGGGCGAGGACGAGGGGTGATTTTTGTTGGGGGCCAAGGCCCTTCAATCAAGCAGCCAGCACAAGCTTGCGTTGCGCTTGTAATATTTTTTCACATTAGTTAATGCACTTTGCAGAAATGCCGCCGTGAAAGTGAAAAGTGGAAATTTCAGTGAGTGCAGATTCCTTTCTGGGCCGCTTAGAGAAAGCTGGGAGCGTTGAGGTCCGCTGCTTGGTGCTGCTGGAATCCTCCAGAGCAGCTCTGACGTGGGCCGCAGGGCACCAAGGATTCCTGAGCGAACCCGCTTGAAGGCTTGATATCTTTGGTCTGTGGAAAGCATTCTTCGATGCGAGTAGTGCAGCTCCAGTGTCGCCTGTGCGCAGCCTGTCAAAGTATGCAAGTCCTGTGCAGCCTACCTCTCGCAGTGTGTCTGTTTTGTTTTTTGTCATGATTGTCAACATTTTTGAATCTTTGAACAACGGGTTCGTGACTGTTCCTCGTCCGGTCCCAGCTATGCCTGATATACCGGCTTAGGATTCCCAAATAAGGGTTTGTTTCAGGATACTTTGAGGGAAGCCTCTAGGGAGTTGGGGGCTTTTTTCAGTGCTTTCGCTGGCAAGGCGACGAGTACCCGACGACGAGGCTCGGGACGAGGCGGGAGAGCCCGCTGTCAGCTTCTCTTCTTGGAGGTTCATGGGTAGTTATAAGTATGGTTATAAGTCCCCTAAGTTGGGTTATAATTATAGTTACCCTACTTAAAACTCCATTTATAACTACCCATGAGCCTCCAAGTAAGTCGTGCTTCATGACTTCCCACATCTCGCGCGAAGGGTAGTTCTCTAAATTTGGGGTGGGGTACGGTGAAGCGGTGAGAATGATGAGAGCAGCGGGGGCGGTGGGGGCGCGTGGCGCGGGTGGTCATGCTGGGGCAGCATGAGAACAGTATTCTTTTCCTTTACAAACAGGAAAGGCAAATGGGGCATGGAGGGGGGGGGTGTCCGGTGAGGGCAGTGAAGGTATAATGGGTGGGGGGTGTGTAGGGTGACGCGGTGAGGCGAAGGGTGCGGGCGGTACCGGTGGTGGGGGTGGTGAGAGCTCGTGGCGCGGGTGGTCATGCTGGTGCAGCAATATCACACTACTCTTTATGGGGGGTGTACGGTGAAGCGGTGATAATGATCAGAGCAGTGGGGCGGTGGGGGCGGTGGGGGCCCTGGGTGGGGAGCCTGGGTGAGAAGGAATCCATGTTAAGGTGTCAGTGTAGCTGTGTGCTGGTCGAAGTGCACCAGTCGGAGGCAAGTGGTCGGGCTCTGTGTCATCGCAGTTCGCTGAGAATCCTCTCAGTGCAAGGGCTGGTACGGCCGCATACCTGTTGTTGTGCGGCACGTGAGGGAGGGGCCCCTACCGGAAGTGCTGCATGTCAAAGTTCGTGCGAATGTTGGCGGACAATCCCGTGCAGTACCCAGAAGATGCGTGGGCCCGCATGCGAGTTTCAAAGTCTCAGTCTTGGCTGAAGGTGCTTCATGAGGTTGCGCACAGTGACTCCTGCATTGGGTTTGCACAGCCACGGTCGACGAGCGTAACCACGGGACATGCATCGCTCAGAAGCCGTTCGGCCTCTCCGTGGAGGACGGATCTATTCCAAAGATGCTTGAAGCCGGCTCGAGTTCACCAGGTAGTGCAGGATCAAAGCTCAGCTTTCGTGGACCTCCCCGACCTTGCGACATGCAGGACCGCACTTTTAAAGGCAAAGTGTTGCTAGCGGCCTTGGTTGTGCTCGCGAATGTGTCGAATGGGGAGCGTTTGGGAAATGCAAGCTGTGCTAACGACGACGATCAGGCCCTCTTACAAGCACGAGTGAAAAATGCTTGCAGCCCTGACGAGACGCCACCCGTGCCGACCGTCCCTTCCGACATCGAAGTGGTGAACCAGGCTGGAGAGTGTTTTGCCGTGGTGACCTATGCTTTTCCGACCGCGACGGACGACTGTGACCCGGACCCCTCTATCTCGCAGTCCGGCGGCCTCGGTTCCGGCGAAGAGTTCCCCGTGGGCAGCACGACGGAGACCTTCACGGTGATCGATGACGCCAGCAATTTTGACTCCGCCAGCTTCCACGTTGTGGTGACTGACGCCGAGGACCCCGACATGACGCCCGTTCCGGCAGACATCATCGTGGACACCGATCCTGGCGTGTGTGACAAGGTTGTGACCTTCCCTACACCGACGGCAACGGACAACTGTCCGAACCCAGTGATAGCATTGACTGCGGGCAAGGCATCCGGCTCAACCTTTGAGTTGGGCATCACGACTCAGACCTTCACTGCGACCGATGCTTCTGGCAATTCTATCTCGGACGTGTTCCATGTTCAGGTCAAGGACAACGAGAACCCGGGCATTGCGGGTCTTCCGAGTTCCAGTACACATGGCAACGATGCAGGCCTGTGTGGGGCCATCGTGAACTATGCTGCGCCCACCGCGACAGACAACTGTGCGGACCCGGTGCTGTCGCAGGATGCCGGCCTTGCCCCCGGCTCCCTTTTCCCGGTTGGCACCACAACGAATATCTACATTGCGACCGATGCTGCTGGGAACGCTGCAACCGGTGGCTTCACGGTGACGGTCAATGACGCGGAGCCACCAGTGATTTCGGGTGTGCCTAGTGACATCACAGTGAGCAACGCTGCGGGCACTTGCGCGGCCACGGTGAACTATGCTCCTCCAACCCTGACCGACAACTGTCCGGGGGGGTCGATTCCACTGACCAGCGGCCTCGGTTCCGGTTCAAGCTTCCCAGTAGGAGCCACGACAGAGACCTACACTGCGACCGATGCTGCTGGGAACGCTGCAACCGGTGGCTTCACGGTGACGGTCAATGACGCGGAGCCACCAGTGATTTCGGGTGTGCCTAGTGACATCACAGTGAGCAACGCTGCGGGCACTTGCGCGGCCACGGTGANNTTGCTCCGACCGTGGGCGACAACTGCCCGAATGCGGCGATTGTACGGACCAGTGGGTCTGGCTCTGGCGCCACTTTCCCAGTAGGCGCCACGATAGAGACCTACACCGCGACCGATGCTTCTAACAACATTGCAGAAGAATCCTTCACAGTGACGGTCAATGACATCGAGAACCCAGTGCCGAATTTGCCTGCAAACATCGTCGTGAACAACGCTGCTGGCACTTGCGCGGCCACGGTGA